CACCCACCTCGGCCTCCCAAAGTGCTGGGATTACAGGCTTGAGCCACTGCGCCCGGCCCTATTTTGGTCTTTTAACAACCCATCATTTCTAGACCATGGGTTAATTCCACCGGTTGCTCAGAAGCCTTCCTGAGTCATCTTAAGCACAATCAATTCACTACTGTGTCTAGACACTGCCCTTAGAGGAAAGCTCAAAATGAAAATGAAGCAGAAATACAGACCTGCTTCCTAGGCCACTCAGAGGTGCATGTACCTTACTAAGTGATGTTGCAACAACTACTCTTTGTTAGTGAAGCTGGTGTCTGCAGAATCTTGATAAAAAGACTCATGAATAATGTTGCTTCTTTAGTCAGATGGGCTCTTGCATGCATTTTTATGGTTTTTCAAAGTAGGTTTTTTGTTTTTTGTTTTTTTGAGACAAAGTCTCTCTGTTGCCAGGCTGGAATGTAGTGGTGCAATCTCGGCTCACCGTAACCTCTGACTCCCTGGTTCAAGCGATTCTCCTGCCTCAGACTCCCAAGTAGCTGGGATTACAGGCACATGCCATCACACCCAGCTAATTTTTTGTATTTTTAGTAGAGACGGGGTTTCACCATGTTGGATGGTCTCTATCTTCTGACCTCGTGATCCACCTGCCTTGGCTTCCCTAAGTGCTGAGATTACAGGTGTGAGCCACTGCACCTGGTGTCATTTTGTTTTAAAGTCTTGTTGTCAAGTCCTTGATAGTAATCACATTTTTAAAATGTCTTCTTTATTTTTAAAATGTCTTCTTTATTTTTATTTATTATTATTATTATTATTATTTGAGACTGAGTCTCACTCTGTTGCCCAGGCTGGAGTGCAACGGCACAATCTTGGCTCACTGCAACCTCTGCCTCCCAGGTTCAAAAGATTCTCCTGCCCCAGCCTCCTGAGTAGCTGGGACTACAGGTGCCTGCCACCATGCCCTGCTAATTTTTGTATTTTTAGTAGAGACAGGGTTTTACCATGTTAGGCAGTCTGGTCTCGAACTCCTCACCTCAGGTGATCCACCCACCTTGGACTTCCAAAGTGCTAGGATTACAGGTGTGAGCCACCATGCCAGCCTTGTCCTCTTTATTTTTAATAAAATTATTTAGTCATTAAGAATTTCGACTAGTGGGCCAGGCATGGTGGCTCATGCCTATAATCCCAGCACTTTGGAAAGCTGAGGTCAGAGGACCACTTGAGCTCAGGAGTTCGAGACCAGCCTGGGCAACATGGCGAGACCCCATCTGTACTAAAAATACAAAAAATTAGTTGGGTGTGCTGGCATACGCCTGTGGTTCCAGCTACTCGAGAGGCTGGAGTGGGAAAATCGCTTTAGCCCAGGGTGCAGAGGTTGCAGTAAGCCATGATCATACCACTGCACTCCAGCATGGGTCACAGAGACAGACCCTGTCTCAGAAAAAAGAAAAAAAAAAAAAGGAATTTTGACTAGTGAATAATTCATATTCAGAGCTACTTTTAATGTGTGAACTAAATAATACAATAGTAAGTTTATGCTAACTACATTTTTTATTTTTAAATTTTTATGTATTTATTATTACTGTTTTTTTTTTTAGAGATGGAGTCTCACTATGTTGCTTAGGCTGGGCTTACCTCAGCATCTGGAGTTGCTGAAACTATAGGCATGTGGCACTGTACCTAAGCTATTTAAGAAAATAGAGAAGAATTGACATGTTATTTATGAGTCATTCAGTTAGGTTTTTCTCTTTAACATTGAGATTTGGTTAAAAATGTTTGTCATAAATTTAAAAACTAGTGAAATCTTAGCTTTGCTGACTAGGATGTCTTATGATATAAATGAGAGGGAG